AGATAGATTATAACAATTTCTATAAATTGAAGGGAGATGAGGCCCTAGAAAATTCAGAGGTGAGGGAGCATATGTTTGCCGGAGTGCATGTGGCTGGAGATTGGAGTGAAGTGGGGCGAAGTGGAGCAGAGATCCAGGCAGATGGAGCCACAGTGGGCTTCTGAAGCTGAGGGCTTTGCTGTCTTCTGGCTGAGTTCAAGAGAGCAAGAGGATCAGAGCCTTCTCATACACAGGTCTATCTTGCTTTATAGGACTGGGTGGAAGTAGACCAGGATTTAAAAGTCAAGGTACTTAGAGGTAGTCCAAAATTAGTCCTCACTTTACAGGTAAGAGATGGGTCCCAAGAGAATAGACAGGACTAAGATCTGGGCTTTCTGGCTCCTGGTCCCTGGTTGTTCCTTTATTCCCTGTTGCCTCCCTCCTATTGCAGTACATTGGGTGTTAATAGAATTTCTGTCCATTGGACCAGTTAGAAAGGTTCTAATTTAAAAAAAAAGAAAAGTACTAGTGACAGATTTTATTTTCTTGGGCTCCGAAATCACTGAGGATGGTGATTGTCATTCAGTTGCTCAGTCGTGTCCGACGCTTTGTGACCCCCTGGACTGCAGCACTCCAGGCTTCCCTGTCCTTCACCATCTCCCAGAGCTGGCTCAAACACATGTCCATTGAGTCAGTGATGCCATTCAAACATCTCATCCTCTGTCGTCCCCTTCTACTGCCTTCAATCTTTCCCAGCATCAGGGAAATGAGTCGGCTGTTTGCATCAGGGGGCCAAAGTATTGGAGCTTCAGTTTCAGCATCAGTCCTTCTAATGACTATTCAGGATTAATTTCTTTTAGGATTGACTGGTTTGATCTCCTTGCTGTCCAAGGGACTCTCAAGAGTCTTCTCCAGCACCACAATTCAAAAGCATCAATTCTTCGGCACTCAGCCTTCTTTATGGTCCAACTCTCACTTCCATGCGTGACTACTGGAAAAACCATAGCTTTGATTAGATGGACCTTTGTCGGCAAAGTAATGTCTCTGCTTTTTAATATGCTGTCTAGGTTTGTCATAGCTTTTCTTTCAAGGAGCAAGCATCTTTTAATTTCATGGCTGCAGTCATGAAATTCACCATGATGAATTTCACCATCTGCAGTGATTTTGGAGCCCAAGAAAATAAAGTCTTCCACTGTTTCCATTGTGAATGGTGATGGCATCCATGAAATTAAAAGACTCCTGCTCCTTAGTAGGAAAGTTACAACAAACCTAGACAGTGTATTAAAAAGTAGAGACATCACTTTGCCAACAAAGGTCCATATAGTCAAAGTTATGGTTTTTCCAGTAGTCATGTATGGATGTGAGTTGGATCATAAAGAAGGCTGAGTGCTGAAGACTTCATGCTTCAAATTGTGGTGCTGTAGGGGACTCTTGAGAGTCCCTTGGACAGCAAGGAGATCAAGCCAGTCATTCCTAAAGGAAATCAATCCTGAATATTCATTGGAAGGACTGATGCTGAAGCCAAAGCTCCAATACTTTGGCCACACGATGTGAACAGCCAACTCGTTGGAAAAGACCCTGATGTTAGGAAAGATTGAAGGCAAAGGAGAGGGGGGTGGCAGAGGATGAGATGGTTAGATAGCATCACTGGCTCAACGGACATGAATTTGAGTAAATTCTAGGAGACAGTGGAGGACAGAGGAGCCTGGAGTGCTGCAGTCCATGGTGCCACACAGAGTCAAGACACAGCCGAGCGACTGACCAGCACAAGAGGAACCACCTAGTTAAAGAAGTTCTGGGAAGAACACTTTGGTAATGTGATTAAGCATCCTGTAACTTGTCTTATAAATGTGAGTTTGTGTATATCTCATTAACTGAAAGGAAGTGGTATATCTAAATAATGAATCCATTCATGACTGGGGTAGGGGGGAAGGCTCAATCTGTCTCTTGGCTTTCTCCTCTGTTATCTGAATTATCCAGTTAGTAGGCACCCTACTACTAATGGAAATTGTTTAGCCTTGTGGGGCCTAAACACTAAAATGCCCCTTGGCATCCTGTGGGGAGCATTGCCAACGTCTCTATTTCCAGGTGACACCCTGACTGTAACGTGTTGTCTGCTCTGAGCCTCTCATGCCTCCTGACCCGAAGGTTCCCTTGTCCTTCTGTCCACTGGCTTTTCCCAGCAGGAAAAACTGCTGCCACTTGTGGATTCTCCTCCCCAAACAGCCTTCTTGTCTCTGCTGTCCTCTGTGCTCTGAGGAAGCCCCTGCCCTATTATGGATGAGATAAAAGAGGAGATGAGGCCAAAGTTGGAAGGAGAGTGTTGGAAAGAAGTCATTGAAAATAAGAAAGACAGAACTTGCTAAAGTGAGGAATGGGGTGAGGGGGAGATCCTCAAAGGAAGACGGTTCCCCAAATTGGGAAACACTGGACTTTGCAACCCTGGCAAATTTCTCATGCCAACGTGTGCTCATAATGATGAGTTTATGTTTCAACCATGCAAATTCACTCTAGCATTACCTTGAGACAAATTTGGAGTCCAACATACGTGGATTCAAATTCCAAATCTAACATTTTCTGCTATGTTACCATAAGGCGAGCTGCCGAACCTCTCTGTTTTCCCGTCTCAAGTAATATGTGTATCTTGCATAGTGAACACTCACAAATATGAATTTCCTATGCCTTTACAGTTGATTCCATATTGGGCTCCTAGTGACTATTTTGAGACTTCTCTTTTATAACAAGACAAAAATTAAAAACTGACTATGCAAAAAACAATATACATATAGATATCTCTATAATTATATAAAACATAAAAAGAACAAAACTTCTATTTAAATCACTATTTTAAAATGGAAAACTTAACAATGCTATCTGTGCACTTTCTACAGTCTCCACATACCTGCTATTCTAGAACTTCTAAGTGCTTTCTAACTGTCCAGTCCTGCCACACCTTAAGTTTCAGTGAATGACTTTTCTGAACTACACAGAAGTGAAGACCATTTGTAAGGAACTTCTCCAGAGACTTCTTCACCACTAGGTATCTCTTTCTGCTTCTGCCCTTTGACTCTTCCTCCCCCAGCTCCTCAGAGGAGTACTCTAAGCATCAAGCTAGCGAGTTTGGGCTATGACCTGTTAGCAAGGGCCACCAGTTTGGGGTTTTGATCCAAGGACACAGGGACTGACATGGTGAATACAGGCTGCCTCTTCCTTTGAGACTGGAGGGAAAGGTGAAGGGCGGGTCAAAGTTCTAGGCTGCTGGGGATCTTCCTGACTGTAAAAGTGGCCATGAAATGAAAAAGAATATCCTAGAGAAATAGGCCAAAGGGAGACATGACAGAATTTAGTTCACCTGCCAATGGATGGAGCACAGGGTAAGGGTGAAGAATGAAGATGACTTCTAACTTTTTAATCTGATTGACCGGGAGAAACACAGAATAAGGACGGAAGTCATGAGAAGTGTCACACTTGGGGTGGAAGATGATGAGTGCAATTTGGTGCCTGTCCAATTAAGAGTGGAAATCCCCAGCAAGGAACTGGAATTGTGGAGGTAACCCTCTGAAGACAGCCTAAGACTGAAGACAGAGATCTGGGTATAACTCAGGAAACATAGTTGGAGCCATGTAAGTGATGAAGGCTCCAGGGGCAGGACATGAAAAGAGAACATAAGACTAAACCTTGAGTATTGGAGGCAAAAACTGTGTGTTGGGATGTAGGGGCAGTGGAAGAAGATGAGACTGGAGTGGTCCAGGTCGTAAGAGGCCTCTGTTCCATGGTTATGAATTTGGACTTGATTTATAGACAATGGGCAATCATTGAAAGCTTAAATTGGGAAGTGAAACAGTCAGATTTGTGTTTCAGAGACATTGGTGTTTCTTTTTAAAAGAAGGATTTCATGATTCGAAGGATTATTAGAGTGGAGAATGACTAAAGGTAGGTGTTGGAAGGCTGCTGCAGTAATCCTGGTGAGAGGTGATGGGGTCCTGGACCACTGGCAGGATGATGAGCTAGAGAGGAAGGGAGTGGGATTTATGGGATTTAGAAAGTAGATGCAATGCTTAGATAAGGGAGGTGAAGAAAGAGTCTAGGATTGCTGCCAGGTTTCATCTTGAGTCACCTGTCTTGTTCAGGAAAAGTCTAGAATTGTTGTCAGGTTACCTCCTGACCCGCCTTTTTGCTCAGGAAGAGTCTAGGATTGTTCCCAGATTTCCTCTTGAGTCACCATTCTGCTCACCTCCAGATTAACCTCCCTAAAATTCTGCTACAGCTTTGTCTCCCCCCTGCTCAAGACACCTTCATTGCTCTTCATTGCCTTCAGAGTTGACCGTGAATGGGTACAGCTCTATATTTGGTCCAGATCTTCCCCCACCACAATCACTATACCTGTGGTGCTTACCTTCAGCCCAGTACAACCCCCTCCGCCCCTGCACCCCCCACCATGGGGGTTGTTTGAATGGACATTTATCCATTATAGGGTGTTTAGAAGGTTGAACTAAGCTAAAATTTCAAGTTTCTTTCCTTTTCTCCCCCCAAGATGTATATCAACTCAATATGATATTACTGTTTACTGATTAGTAAATATCTATAATGTATAGAAATGGGGGAATAAATGTTTTCTTTCTTAATACATGCCAAGAATGCGAGATTGTGGAGAAAACCCTCTCAAAACATGGATTCAGATAATCAAATAAGTCCTTTGTGATGATAAGGTTGAGAACCACCACTCTATATTCCAGTCCAAGATGGACCACTTTGCTGCTGTTTCTTTCCCAAGCCTACTTGTATTTTCCTGTCCTGCCAGAACTGTGTGAATGCAGTTGTCTCTCCCTTAAATTCCCTCCCCATCATCTCCTAGTACCTGAATCCTCTGCATTCTTTAGGGACCTTATCGGAAGTCTGTCCTCCCACCTAAGACCTCCTAAGTAGAGAGCTCTTTCCCTTTCTGCAGCCTCCAGCACCTCCCAGGCACTAGGGCTGCGTGTTTTGCCTTCTCGCAAACCAAGCCGCTGCAGGTGGGAATGATGTCTGCGCATTTCGCATTTCGCATTTCGCAGCGCTTAGAAAACCGCAAACAGCGTGGAAATGGTGCCGAGGGATATAGCCGGGCAGACCTCGGAGCCCGCCCCTTCGGCGCTGCCTGTCGGGCCACTGGGCGGGTGCTGAATTCATTTCCACCTCATTAACTCGGCCCCAGGCCCGCCCCCGCCAGCTCCCGCTCCTGTTCCCCATCCCTGACACGACCGCCTCCTTTTTCTTCCTTCTCTTTTCCTCTGTCACCTTGCCAGCTCGGCTTCTATCGCTTCGCCTATCGTCTCTCCATCTCTTTCTCCTGAGTCTGTCTGGGTCTCTGTCTTCGGGTGTTGCTCTCTGCCCGGTTCCTCCAGCTGTCTGGGGCTCCGCTTCGTTGCTCCACATGCCCCGCCCCCTGCCCAGGCCCCTCCAATCCCGGCGGCTCGGGCCTGGCGCTCCACGTTCCCATTGGCCTGTCCGGAGCCCCCCGCCCCCGCCCGCCCGGCCCCTCCAGGTCCCTCCATTCACGCAAAGTTTGGCTCTGCGCTGCGGAGGGAGGGGGCGGCCCGGCCCGGCCCAGCTCTGCCCCCGGCCGGCCCGACCCCAGCCCCGGCCCCTGGACCAGCCCTTATCTGATCCCAGCTCCGGGTTTAAGAGTCCTGGCCCTGCCGGTCGCGCAGCTCCGTTCCTCACGCCTGCCCGCCCCGTCCGTCCGTCTGTCCCGCTGCCCATCCGAGGGGCCACTCCACCCTGGACCCAAGGTAAGACCTTGGCCCTAATGAAAGAGTGCCGCCGCCTAGGCCCGGGTCCTGTTTACCTCACTCTTCAGAGATACCGGGGCCCCCAGTCCCTGGGTCCCCACCCTGACTGGCCTCAGTGGTGCAGCCCTATTCCTTAGCCTCCCACCTTGGGCTTCTGGGAAGGGCTCTCCAAGAAGGGAAATTTACCTAAGCTGGTCACCTCAGCGCTTTCAGCCCAGGAAGGGGCTTTCCTAATACCCTTCCTATTGGGCAGAGCTGCAGTTGCATCACAGCCTTCCAACTAATACAGTAACTACCACATCTAACCATGCACGCCCCGCAGGCACTCCAGACAGCGCCCCCTTTCCCAGGATCATCAGGTTACTCCCACTCCCATGCCCAGCCCCTTTCCCCGTCCCCATGCTGTGACACGTAGTGACACCCACACACAGCTCACACAGCGGAAGAAAGCTGTATGTGTAATTACTGCTCAGATTAGGGAGTCTGGTAACTTGGTATGACTGGGACCCCCTGCCCACTCAATTTCTTCCCTCCACTCCAACTTGCCTCCCATTTCAAGACATACCTCCCTGTTAATAACCCCCTCCCTGCTGCAGAGTGAGACAGTTGGGAAAGTGGGGTGGTGAAGAAACCAATACAAATTTGGACCCCAAAGGAGGCCTAGGCTTAAAGCCTGACGCTGTTACTTATTGATACACATTCTGGCTAAAGATTTTTAGCCTGTCTGCCTTGGTTGTGGTGCTTGAATTTTTTTTTTTTTTTCCTCACCAGGACTGCTTTAGGCATTTCTGGGTGGGAGGGAGATGATGATGATGGGAGATTTGGTGTCCTGTCAGGAGTGACACTTGTTTAGGAATGAGGGGGGCTTGGGATGGGTATTAGGAAACTGGTTTGAGGAGAGACCAGAAGCTACCACTGAGTTCCATTTAGTTTCATCTTGAAGCTGTCTCCCTAATCTCCAAGGATTTCTGTTCTATGTTCCTGGCATGATGGTGGGCACCATCCTGCGCTGAGGGGCAGGCTTGTTAATTCCTCACAGTATAAGCAGGGTACTAGGGACCAAGTGTAGAAGGAACCAGGTGTCCTGGTTTGTAGTTAGTTCTTCAGGGAGGAGGAAATGAGTGAGGAGAGGGAGGGAAGGCGTCATGCCAAGGAGGGGGGCCAGGGCTGGGCTACAGAGGCAATAGGCACGGCCCAGGCAGTGCCAACTCCTTTTTGCCACTCTCCAGTCCTTTGGTGGTGGTGGCGCGGGAGGGAGAGAGGGGGTGTTGGGGGTGATCTGGGCCAGTCCAGCCTCCCAAAGCCCTTGCCAGCCTAGGTCCTGAAAGGAACCGCTGTTTTCTGAGCCGTCCCCCCACCCTCCGCCCTGAGCGGAGCAGCCAACTTGTCTCAGTGGGTATCAAATGGCAGCGACTCCACTGGTGGGGGGGGGACAGGGTTATGGTCCCATCCCTTCTGTGGTTCAATGCCGAATCCCACTGCTGCCCCCTGCTCTGCGGGAAAAAATCTGTCTCCCCAACATTGCCCCACATGCAGTCTGTGGACACATCTGCTTGCGTGGGAGGGCTAGTTGTCAGGCCCCTGGCATCTCCCACCTTGTCCCTGTGCCCCACTGGACGGTGGGTGCCCCATCTCTGCGCCTGCACCTCTGTGCACACTGGCTTGGGCTAGAAGGGAAGGGCCTGGCATAAGACCCAGGGGCCTCCTTCCCCTCCCTCCCTAGGGACCAGAAAGACTGGGACACTTGGATCTGGGTGAGCTTAAATGAAATCTTCTAGGGCCACGCTGGGACTGTTGGAATAAGGGGTTTAGGGCTCTGGGTGGGGGAGTGAGTCATGTAGAAAGACCCACTTGTACAAAAAGGAGAAACGGCCTCTTGCACCTTTTAGTAAAATGTTTGGTTTCTGCACACAAGATGGAAGGTAGGCTGAACCCCCTGGCATTGGTGGGGAGGGAAAGAGATGCTGGGCCACAGAGCCCCTCAGCTTTCCTGCCAAGGGTTATTTAGGACAGAAAGAAGAAACTTCCACTCTCAATCCCCTCCCCAGCCAGCCTAGATTCTTCTCTTGCCTGACTGGTCAGTGCTACAGTCCCGGTTGAGGCCAAGCTGTCCAGGATGATGGTGAGGCCCTGGAAGGGGCAGAGAGAAGGGAGAGTCCAAGGCACACTGTTAGGATGAAACTGCAGAAAGATGAGAGAGATGGGAGATCTCGAATCCAACTGTTTTAGCACCCAGTGAAGGGTGGTTGGAAGGGGCAGCTCTTAGAAATCAGAGCTTTCTGAGTTTACCACATCACCCCTTCTCTTCCATAGGCAGTGTTCAATGCTTTTCCCCCTTCATCCAAGTTTATTATAGGTGTTGCCACCATTTTCATGGAGACAGTGCATCTGCATGGTCCCTCTGCATCCCCTCCCCCCATCAGAACCTTGAAAGGGCAGAGAGAAAGGGATTATGGGAAAGACTCTCCCGTGGGAGTCAGCCAGCTGGGAGCTGGATTTGAGGTGGTGGGGAGAAGGGAGGGGTTGGCTCTGGAATGCAGGAGAGAAGTGAGAACTGAAATGGTGGCCTGGAGAAGGAGGCTGGAGAAGCATGGGCTTGAGAAGGCTTAATTAGCACTTCAGGTCCCTGAAAAGGTATAGTATTGAAGGAGTGGATGTGGCCAATGGCAGAAGACCTGGGGAAAGGGTTGGGGCTGCAACTTGAAGGACTTAGGCTAGATTTCAGGAAGCATGTCCATAGAAGGAAAGAGATCTGAAACGGAGTTTGGAAAAGAGAGGGAGACCAGCTTGTGGACTCTAGCAAAAACAAAAAAGCTCCCGAACAAAAAAAAGCCCACCATTAAGGCTTGTGAGGGGAGTTTTGAAACTCAGAGACATGCAGGGATTACTGTAAGAGGTCAAGAGTCCTCTTCTGGAAGGAAGGTGCGACCCACAGTGAGTCCCAGGGTGTATTTCTGTTGCCTGAGAGGCAGAGGCATAGTGTTGGGAGCACAGTCTTGGAGTCAGACTTCCTGGGTTTACTATCTGACTTCTGCCGCTTCATAGCTACACGTTTCCTCATCCTTACAATGGGGCTAAAAATTACAGTTGTAGATTAAGAGAGTCAGTATTTGTAAAGGGCCTGGAATGGTGCTCAACAAGTGAAAACTGAAAAGGTACAGTTGTTGGTTGTCGTGGTTCTCCCACTTATGTAACTCTTTCTACTCCATCATCTTGCCTGGCTCCTGGGCCTGCCAGGGCCCTTCCTTGGGGCTTTTTCTGAGGTCTGTCCTGGGTTTCTATCTCTCCACCCTTCGAGACTTTGGAAAGGTGGGAGAATTACCAAGTTGTTTAAGATGAACTTCCTTTTTTCATTCCAACAGTCTGGCCACAGCCAGAGCCTGGGTCTCCACGTCCCTGGCCCTTTCTTTCTGTAAGTTTTCACCAAGCAGATGTCTTGTGTTCAACTCGGATATGATAAATGTAACTGAGCTGTTGAACTTCCCTAAAATAGTGTCTTTCCCCATTCTGGGCAATTTATTTCCTCCAGCCAAAGATGGCAGCTTCTTTCTGTCCCCACATCTCACCCTGGTCCCTCCATGGCTCTGCCTGTCCCCTCCCTGCCCATTTCCCCCCACCCCCACCACTCCTTTCAGGTGTGTGAGCCGAGCTCTTCCCTGCCTCTGATCAGCCTGTCCATCCCACTAGCCTGGGTGCCCACAGCAGCCTCCTTATTACTTTCCTGACTCCCGCCTTTCTTTCTCCTTGATTCTCTCCCTTAACTTCATGGAATCATCCCTGGAATTGTCATCATGAAGCATCAGTTTTACCTTGCCCCTTTCCTACCCAGACATCTCTATCGGTTTTCAGACTAAAGTTCTGAAAAACTAACGACTTCAAGCTGCTTTATACCAGCCTTCCTCCTATCCCCTCCAGCACCCCTCTTTAGGGGCCCCAATCTATTCAGACCTTGTACTGGGGGAGCATATCCCACGGCAGTCCCTGAGTCACACCCTTCCATCCTGGGCCCTCACACAGACCTATGGATCTTCACCTTGCCCCCCTGCAAATCTTCCTATTTCTCTATCTGCTCTATCATCTTGTACCCCTTCGTGTCAGCATCCCGCCTGCCCCTTGTCCTTTGTGTCTGTGACTTTGCCCAGGGCAACCTGGGCAGTGGTAATACTGGAGGGGACATCCTGTCTCCTTCAGTAACGGGTGCTCCTCTAGGGAGGGGCCTCCACCCCTGTCAGATTGTGGACTCCCTGAAGCAAGCGCATCTTTTTCCTCCCCGGATCCCTCTACCCAAGGGCACAGAGTGCCTACTAACCAGCTTCATTCTAGGTAAAAAGTCTTTCTGGTCGCTAATTCTGGGGGAGGATCCTGACTTTTAAGGCTTTAGAAGCTTAGGAGTGTCCTAGACTAGGGTGCACATTCGTGCATGCTAGTCACTTCGGTCAGGTCCAACTCTATCAAGAACACTAGAGTGGGTTGCCATGCCCTCCTCCAGGGGATCTCCCTGACCCAGGGATCAAACCTGCATCTCTTACATCTCCTGCATTGGCAGGCAGGTTCTACCCACTAGTGCCACCTGGGAAGCCCAGACTAGGGTATACATAAGACCCTATTAACCAATTCTCCTGGGAACTGCCAGAGCTATTTATCTCCTACAAAGCTCCCCATCCTGTGGAGACAGTTTCATCCTAAGATTACAGGCAGCAGATTAAGCATTGCCAGCCCAAACACAAAAATCCACATGGGTATCCACGGAAGTTTTCTCTCCTCACCAGGAAGGTCTGCCCCTGCCTGATGTTGGACTTGTCAGCAGGCATCTGGATTGTGAAAGGGGCAGAGACCAGAATCCAACCTGAGACAGGCAACCCTGGGCAAATTATTAACATCTCTGGGCTTCAGTTGTCTTGTCTATAAAATGGAACTTTTAAATAGTGTCTAGTTTTTAGAATTGTTGAGAATTAGATGATGTAAGTCTAGAAAAGGGCCTAACATAATGCTGACTAATATGAACTTTTAGTAAATCCCAGAGCCTTGTCCCTGAATCCACTGCCCATGGGCCCAGAAGGCAGGGTGATACAGAACTGACCTTTCCCATGTTGCAGATGTGGGCTTCTTGAACCAGACAGAAAAAGTGATTTGTGCGAGGTCCCAGAAAAAGTTAACAGGGTTGTTGGGCCTGAACCCAGGAGTCCTAATTCTTAGTCCTGCACTCTCCCCCTCAGACTGTCAGTGGAGGGGAAAAAACTCAAGGTCCTCAGAGAGGGGAGCAGACCTTACCTTTCCCCCAGCAATCCCAAGTGTGGCATCCATGGCTAAGGGCAGAGCAGGAAGGCGGGTAGTGGGGAGGACCTCCTGACATCAGCAGCATCTGCAGCAGGAGAAAGCAAGCCGGGAGAAGGCATTCCTCAGCCCCGGTTTTCCACTGTGCCTTGCCCGGAGCACTTCTGTAAACTGGCCCCAACCCTCTCTCCTGTGGGTTCCTGACCCAGGGCAGAGGGAGTCTGTAGTCAGCAACACTGCTTCTCCGTGGCGTTCCTTTTCCTGCTCTCTGCCTGCAGCCCTTTCCCGAGCATCACTCCCTCTCGGTCTCCCAGCCCTGGGGTGCCTTTCTGCGTTGCTCCAACCCTGCCCTTTGTCCTGTGGGCCACAGGCAGTGCATGCACCTTGGGAAGGCAGGGGTGGTGCTGAAGGTGCTCGTGGAGGCCGGGGAGGGACTGGCGGGGCAGTGGGGGGGTGGTCCTTGGCCAGGAGGAGAAGCCTCTTCCCACAGCCTGGGAAAGGGGATGAGGCAGAGGGGGAGACAGACAAACATATGCTGGTGGAGGCAGGGGTGGAGGGGAGCTAGTTCTGGTTCTTCGGCTCTTCCTCTATCAGCCAGATCCCCCTGGGCTGAGCTGTAAGCACTACCTTGTCTGAAGCCTAAACACCCCGAACTCCAGGCACACACCCTGAGCAGGATTCTGGACGGTCAGGACCCACATGCAGCCTGGAGACTCTGAGACATGGCAGGCTGAGGTTTGAGACCTTGCTGCCTATTGCTTGGTTTTGCCTCTCCCACCCACACAGTTCCCTTGAATAGATGGGAAGACTGAGGCCAAAAGTGGGTGGGCTCAGACTGCCCACGTGCTTCTTCAAGAGTCCAGCCTGGGCGGAAGGATCCTGGTCTCCCCCAGCACTGCCCCTCCCCCTCCCAGTGCCCCTGGCTTTTTCCACTTGGAGAGTCCTGACAAGTGGCAGGTTTGGGGGCCCTGGGCTAGTCTCCCTCCCCGGTCTCCCGGGCAGTGCCCCCAGGGGAGCCCTTGGGGGCTAAGATCTCTACAGTCTCAGCCCTGCCCCATCCGCTGCCTCCACCCACGCGGCGGGCAGCAGCGCCCCCCTCCCCCGGGCTGTGGGACAGGGAGAGGGCCGAGGGGCTGGCCCTGCATACTAATGTCCTGCCCATTGTCAAAGCCCCTTTGTGCCCGGGAGCTCCATTGAGGCGGCTCCGGGGCGGGCACAATGGGGGCTCTGTCCCCGAGTTCCCCCAAACAGTCACCTGCTTTCAGAGCCTCCCCCCACCCCCACCCCCACCCACCCCAGTGTCCGGAGGGCCCAGTGAGTGCGGGGGAATGAGCCCAAGGCCGGGGGGTTGGGCAGGAGGCGACCCCCCCCCCCCCGCCCTTCCCTGGGCAGGCTGGGGAGATGGGCACTCGGCAGGGAGTGGCCCCGGCTCCCAGCGGGGCGGGGCCGGGCCGGGCAGTCTCTGGACGGACTTGGAATTCAGGTTCCATGAGGCCGGCCCAGGGGACGGGGCACGCAGCCTGCCCACTCCTTGGCTCCACATGCCCAGGCACCGCGGCCGGTGGCTGCCCGCCTTTCCTCCCCCTCCCACCGCGAGGCTCATATATGCAGAGACACACAGGCGCACGCCCTTGCATGCGGCCCCACACACGCTCTGGTCCGCACATCTGAGCGGAGGCGGCGCCTGGACCCAGCAGGCCGACTCAGACACACCGACCCACCCGCCACTTGCATATATGCACCTGCACACCCGCCCTCCACCCGCTTTGCGCCCCTTCCACCAGCCTCGGGCAGCTCAGCGCCAGTCCCCCCGCCCCCCACCGTGCCCTCGCTGCCCCCTGCTGCTCCAACACAGGTTATAACAAGTTTGCACTTGTGACTTCAAGAATGTAGCCCTGAGGCGGGAAATGTCCCACTGCTCCAGACCGCTCCTGCTTATATGTTAACCACGGACGCTGCCTCCGCTGAACTCTGAACAGGCTCCCCTCATCTCACCGCCCACAGAGAGGTTTGGTGGGCCCAGGACCCCCGGCCCAGAGCTCATCCAAACGCTGAATGGAGCAATGTGGGAAAGATTAACCCCAAGCCGCCCAGACCCAGGGCGACCACCTTTACGCCTGCCCAGGGCGCTCCGAGTCACAGCCTCTTACAGCCCTGTGAGGTAGACGGCATCATCATTATTTTCCCATTTTACGGTAAGGCTCTGACCAGGAGGCATGATATATCCAGGTGGCAAGACTGGGACTGTGTTCTGGAATGGAGGTTTCTTGCTGCCTGGTGTTTTTCTGGATTTTTTTGGGGGGTGGGGGTGGGGGTTGTTGGTCACTGTCTGCCTAGGGGCTCCCTGGTTGGCTTGGTGATAAAGAATCCACCTGCAATGCAGGAGACCAGGAGACTCGGGTTTGATCCCTGGGCCAGGAAGATCCCCTGGAGGAGGGCATGGCAACCCACTCCAGTATTCTTGCCTGGAGAATCCCATGGACAGCGGAGTCTGACAGTCCATGGGGTCGCAAAGCCAGACATAATGAGAGGGCTGAGTTCACACACATGCACTGCCTGCCTCTTGACTTCCTTGGATAACCTACTCCATGTGGAATTCTATCAGAGCCATCTTTTGCCCATCTTCGTTGGGAAGGGCACATTGGGATGGATGGTAGAGGGGGGAAAAAGGTACAAGAAGCTTAAATAGGATTCTCAGTCTAGAAAGAACTTCGAAAGGTCACCTTGACCTCTGACTGCCTCTGGGCAGAGTGGGTCTACCTCCTTTCATTTCCTGCCTTCCCGAGAGCCCCACTCCTCTCTGCTGACTGGATCACTGGGGAGAGAAGTCACATGGCCTTCTTGGCTAGGGTTTAGGGATTGAGATCTGTATTAATTTTAAGTTCATGACACCTGACTCTGACCTTCCCTGTTAATATCCTATGTCTGTATAAGGATCTATGGACTTTCCTGGTAGCTCGGCTGGTAGAGAATCTGCCTGCAATGCAGGAGACCCGGTTTGATTCCTGGGTCAGGAAAATCCCCTGGAGAAGGGATTGTCTATGCACTCCAGTTTTCATGGGCTTTCCTGGTGGCTCAGATATGGGATCAAACCCAGGTCTCCTGCATTGCTGGTGAAATCTTTACCAGTAGGACCCTTCTATTCCTTACCCCACTGCTCATCTTGGATGCTCCCCGACTGGCTACCAGATTCAGCTTAAGCTGCATGATTCATCTGTCTTCCTCCATGCATGAACACTCTGCCCCAGTCTTTATTCTCTGGTTCTTCCATCTCCAAGTGCTCCTTCAAATGCTCCCTGTTGGAGAAGGGGGCCTGGCCAAAATACAACTTCAGCCCCTCCAGCAGCACTCTGGCTCAGAGGAGGGATTGGGGGAAGCCACCTCTGAATCTAGTTCTGCATCTAGTCAGTATCTTCGTGCCACCCTGCTCCCGAACTTCTACTCAGACAAGGAGTGTGGATGAGGGCTAAGTGGACAGTTGGGGAAGGACGGAGAGATTCCCTCCCAGGGTGACAGTAGACCTTCCCTAGGTTTCTCTGTAAGAGGGTCAGGGATTGTTCTTCATGCATGAAACCTGAGAAGGAAAGGGAGTGGCAAGGACACTCATTGGGGAAGGTGGATCAGTTTCCTGAATACACATCAGAAGCGCAGGGTACCTATGGGTTTCCATCTCCATTGAGGGTAAAAATAAGAGGAAATTGTTCAGGCAGCAGCAGGTCTATTTTGACTTAATGGGAAGCACTTCCTGGGTGTAAGGGATTACCAGGCAAAGGGGAAGGATGGAGAGAGGTGGAGGATCCGCTCCCCTTGAGGAGAAAGAGAGGCCTGGTTAAGTCTCCTGTTGAACAGAGGTGGGAGGTCTAGGACAGTTCCAAAGGGGCTCAGAGCCCCTGTGGGCCGCGTGATTTCCAGCTGTCTCAGAGAAACTCTCTTGATCAGCTCCACAAACCCTACAGAGAGTGTTGTTGGATCTGCCCTCTCCTAATGGGCCCCCTATTTGCTGTTTCTTCCAGCTCTTCTTGGTCTATCTCTGGGCCAGCTGCTGTTGGGGGAGGGCAGGTTAGGGTTTGAATTAGGTTCCTGAGGCCTGCTGATGGTGCACTGCACACCCTGGACTGGGGCTGTGGTTGGGGGGCAAGACCTCAGTGGCTAATGCTCCCAGGTTGGCCCTTCTGGACCCGAGGATCAAGAAAGGATCTTGTAGGAAGAGAGGGGCTGGGATGAAGAAAGCCCGGGTCATTGTCTGATTCTGGTGCTACAAGCCAGCTCTGTGACTGTGGGAAAGTTACTCAGCTTTTCTGGGACTTGGCTTCCTCTTCAGTGGGATGAGGGGATTGGACAAGATGACCATGGGGGCCTCCCAGTGCCGACACGCCGTGACGGTACAGCGGTCAGAGGAAAAGCACAGATCTCGGTTTCAGCGGGCCTGGGTTCACCTTGCAGTCACCTCCTCCTCACTACTGGCCCTCCTGGGCGAGTCTGGTTCCGCCCATTCATATGAGGGCAATGGCATCACCCAGCTCCCAGGGAGGATATAGGACGATGCAGTGTGCGAACACGCGGCACAAGGCCTGGCTCATTGCAAGGACCGAGGTGGGGAAGTCCACGGCACATGGGAGCACGGACGAGGGGCAGCAACTCACCTGAGGCTGCGGGCACCCAGAAGGGCTTCCCAGAGAAACTGACATCCACACTGAGGCTTGAAGGAGGGGTAGAGAGCGACCACGGGTCGTGGGGAGAAGAAGGGAGCTTCACCGAAGAGGCCCCACTGTTTGCCGAGAACTGTCAGTGAGAGAGCGTGGCCCGTTCAGGCACTGTGAGCAGCTCGGTGTGGCTGGGGGACAGAGGCCGTGTGTGAGGGGCACGCGGAGGCCAAGAACACTGATGCTGGACAGCGCAGCTCACGGCACACTCTGGCCCCCTGGAATCCTAGCAGCTTGTGAGTTGGGGTCCCTCCACTTCTGTTGCATCTTCCTTCTCCTACTTTTCTTTTTCCCAAGCTCAGTCCTCTTGTCTTTGGTCATGTGAGTACACGGAAGCACTGGGCTCCCCAAGAGGACCTGGTTGGTCCAGGGAGAAGCTCTGGCCCCCAGCCATCTGACTTGGGACCTGCCTGGGGTCCAGGTCTGGAGTTTTCTGCCTCTCTCCTTTCCCACCATCAAAGAAAGTTCTGCTTTCTGCTGAAGACTCTGGATTTCTGGCATTGAGGCTCCCGGTGTACCCACGGTGGACCTTGGCTGCCGCACTGCCCCCTCACGATATAGAGATGTGAGCGTGTTGGTGGAGGTGGGCCGAGGGCAGTGTGAGGTGAGCACGGAGGGAAGCTAGAGAGAAGACAGGCCTTCAGCCTGGAGTAAAGGCTGATGGGGAGACCGAGCCAGTGCCCTCCACTGTTCAAAGGCTGACACTGTCATGGGAAACTCGGAGGAAGGACTTCCCAAGGATGAAGCAGGTCACACGCCAAAAAGGGAGCCTGAGGGAGGGAAAAGAAATGTACACTATCAATCCTATGGGTTCTTTTAAAGCCAAGAGCTACTTAGCCAAAGCTCTGTACTAGGCTTGAGGAGGTTACAGAGATGAACACTGCACTGGTCAGGAAGCAGTTCAGAAATGATGCTTCTGCAACTTTCCTGAGAGTCTAGTGGCTAAGACTCCATGCTTCCAATGCAGGGAGGCCCAGGTTCCATCCTTTGTCTGGGAACTAGATTCCACATGCTGCAGCTAAGACCCAGAGCTTCCAAATAAATAAATGATTTATAATAAAAGAAATGATTCTCCTGACTGGGACGGTGAGCATGATCCCTCCAGGAAGGAGTGGAACAGATAAAAGGCCCCCTCTGGCAGCATCTCCTGAGGATGCTTCCACACTGGGAGTGATGCTCATGCCTCCTCTGCTGCCTACATTGCCTCTTGGAGCCTCCACCAACTGGGCCCAAGGCCTCCCTCCTCACTAGCCGCACAGTGTCTAAGGTCCCAGACAAGAAAGGGGATAGAGAAGGGGACCCGTAGCCAGGAGGTGGTCAGCCTCCCTGTTATGTCTCACGTGGGAAGTTGCACTGGTCCCAGGACCCTAAGAAGACAGTCCCATCAGCTTGGCCTCTCTCTGGTGTCCCAGACCTGGTGGCAGCTCAGTGGTTCCCTGGCCTCCAGCCCAAAAACCTTATCTCCTGGGGCCTGGCACCCTGGGCTCTTTAAAAAATTTTAAACAAAATTTGTTTTATCATTGCTTAGTGATTTATTCTTTTAAGGCTCCATCAGCAGGGGGAATGGGAGATCACTTCCACCCTGACACCTTGGGTAACCAAGGCATTATCGTCCTTTGGACCCGAACATCAGTGCCTTGTTTCCTGAGGTACTCCAAAGTTAATGGGGGTACCTTCCAGGCCTCAGTCATCCCCTGGCCAATCACAAGGATCTGCACACCCTTCTTGACAACTTCCTGCTCATCTGTAGTCTGCACACCAGGAGAATTCTCAGTTCCTGTTAAGACGTCCCCCTGGCCACACTTTGTAGTCCTTATAGATTTTGGTAGAGCCTGGTACTTCACTTGCCCCCATGAGAGGGTAGCGATTTCAGGTGAAGACATAAGGAACTTAACTGAAATCCAGTGTGCTCTCTTCAGAGATGCCTTTTGAAACAGCTGTGTGCTTTACCCCTCATCCTGGGCTCTGAGCAGCCTGCCAGCTGCCTGGAGCCATCAAGGCTGGGGTGGGGGGTGGGGAGCAGGAGGGCCAGGGGCTGCAGGGCATGATGGAGGAACTGGATTCTTTTGGGCATCCTGCACTGAACACCTTTCCTACCGTTTGGCAGGGTGAAGGGGTTTGGAGAGAGCTTCACCTTGGGAATTATAGGGAAGCAGGAT